GCCGCGGGGAAGGGGCCTCCGCGCCCCCATCCTCGTCCCTGCGACCCCCAGCGCGCGCGGTCGGGGTGGGGGAGTGCCGGGACTCCTGGGTCTCCTGCCTCACGGAGTCTTCCCCTCCTTCTTTCTCTGGACACCCCCCTTCACCTTTTCCCCCCGCCCCCCCCCGCTTGCTTTCCCCTACATATTGCCAAGATCCGGTGGAACTGGGGGGCTCATCGGATCAGCAGGATGTACCCACAGGGAAGGCACCCGGTGAGTGGGGGCTGTGGGGGAGGAGGCCCCCCCTTCCCCTGGCATCCGGAAACTCCGACCCTGACGTCTCACCCACACCACCCCCAGACCCCACTCCAGTCCGGCCAGCCCTTCAAGTTCTCGATCTTGGAGATCTGCGACCGCATCAAAGAAGAATTCCAGTTTCTCCAGGCTCAGTACCACAGGTGAGGGGGGCCGCCCCGCCCAGGGGCTGGGAGTTTGCCTTAGCGCCCCTGGGGTGGAGGGAGGGAGGGAGAGGGGGCTCCGGGGGTGGGGCCATGGCGAACCTCCCAGGTGCAACTGAAGGTGGAGTGGGGATTGGGGACCGTCAGTGCTGGGCATTTTGAACCCAGGAGAGGACAGGGAGGGGGGTGGTTAGTAAGGAAGTGGGAGGGGAGCTCCTCACTTTGAAGCTGGCCCAGATGGAGGCTACATATGGGACCCCCTCCATGCCCTCTCTCCCTCCCAGCCTCAAGCTGGAATGTGAGAAGCTGGCCAGTGAGAAGACAGAAATGCAGCGACATTATGTCATGGTGAGGGGGGATGTGATGGGGGGCAGTTCCGGGTCTTTTTGGTGTTGACTCACCCTACCATGACTGTGACCCTACCCCTGCTCTGAGCCTCCTCTTCCCTGTGTGCAAATTGGGCTGATGGGAGTTATAAGCTGTCTTGGAAGGTGCTCCCAGCAGCTGAGAATGCGAGGATGCCCCCTACCTTCATGGACATCTCTGGGGGACCAGGGTCTCTGGGCATCTTATACCTGCCCCACCTCTTGGAGACAGGAGAGGGACCCTTCTAAGCAGAGCTCTGCTTCCTCCTCCAAGTGCCTCCCCTGGGGCCCCCATGGGACTCTTATGTCCTGCGATGGTTTCCCTGCCTTAGGGACTCTTAGAAGACCCCAGAGTCTCCCATCACAAGCCTAGGCACACACCTGCCCTGTACTCAGACATTGCTTTTCCTTTGCAGTATTATGAGATGTCCTATGGGCTCAACATTGAAATGCATAAGCAGGTAACTACAGGGGATAAAGGTGTCCAGGTGGAGGAGGCAGATCTGGAAGCCATGGGAGGGACCTAGTCTAGGGCAGAGCAGACCCAGGGAACTGGGGTCTTGTCCTATAATCTCTGGAAAGGTCCTAACAGAGGCAGATTTCAGCCTCATGAAAGGAAAATGATTCTCAACTTCAAGAGACATTGTCCAGCTGAGATGCTAACATTGGGCAGGCAGTGGCCAGCCACTCCTTTCCCAAGGAATGCTGCTAGCAGAGACTGGGCAGCCAGATCAAGGAGGCTGTAGCAGTGACTCCTATCACAGGACAAGGCTGGATGGACAGTCTTAGAGGTCCCTTTCAGCCTGGAGAGTCTGAAGTTTTGAGGTGGACCCTGAGAATCAGTTGCTTTTTGAAAGTTCTAAGATTGACCCCAGTGGAATTTACTAGAAGATTCTGAGATTGTTCTCAATCTGAATTTGATTGCATGGTTCAGACTGACCCTGTCATTCCAAGATATACCTTGAAATTCTGTGGCTGTCCTCAGGGCTCTGAGATTGACCCCAATGGTATGGTATGAGGCACAATGTTCTGAGACTTCCTAAGCAGAATCTGAGGTAGTATGAAGATTCTGAGATAGACCTTAAGGTTCTGAGATAGACTTCAAGTTTCTGAGATTGACTTCTGTGTACTGAAATATAGCACAAGATTCTGAGGCTGTCCCAAGCTTCTCAGTGTGATCTCAGTGATCACAATTAGACCCAAAGGTCTATTGATTCCAGTGGTCCAAGATAAAACCTGAAATCCTAAGACTGACAGATGGTTTCTTTCTTTCTTTCTTTTTGGAACAGTCTCATTCTGTTGCCCTAGGTAGAGTGCAGTGGCATCACCATGGCTTACTGCATCCTCAAACTTCTGGGCTCAAGTGATCCTCCTGCTCAGCCTACCAAGTAGTTGGGCCTCAGGCACTCACCACCACACCCAACTCATTTTTCTATTTTATGTGGTGGCAGGGTCCCCCTGTTGTTGATCTGGCTAGTCTCAAACTCCTGGCCCTCAAGCAACCTTTCCGCCTCAGCCTCCCAGAATGCTAGGATTAGAGGCATGAGTCACCGGGCCCAGCCCTGACCAGTGGTTTCTAAGGGGATGAGAATATTTCTGAGATTCTGAGTTCAATGAACTGTTAGATTTTATCCAAACAGAATATTAGAATTAATGGAAGGAGCTTTATGTTGGGGCTTCCAGGTGGGTGGGAAGAGGAGTAGGCTGGGATGTGGGGTGCCTGGGGGTGCCCATGTGGCAATCTTTCGTGGGTATGTGTTTTCTTTATGATTCTGATGTGGTAAGGAGGGGACTTGTCTGCTGGAGTATGGCATGGACCTATGGGTGCATGCAATAGACCCCCTAATGGGGTGTAGGACACAGAGTAAGGCCTTCTGGTGGGGGGTACGATACACAAAGCACACCTGTAACTCAGGCAGAGGGGCAGGGTGCATAGCTATTGTATACATACCCCCTTCCCTCACCCTACTTAGTCTCTTTGGGGGACCCTGGCCTGGACCATGTCCTGCCTGAAACTCTCCCCTTGAGTGTAGGGTGCTAAGATCTCTATCTCACAGTATCCCGGTGCTAGATCAGCCCCACCTGGTCATGACTGGAAGGCAGAGGTCCCTCCCTGTTTGCTCCTTTATGCTGACCTCAAAGTCTTAAGTGTCTGTGCGTGGCCAGTGTGTTTGTTGAGTGGTGTATCTGTAACACCTAGGACCTCAGCCCTGGTCTTCTGGGCTCTAGGCAGCTCAGGGTTCTGCAGCTGGGCAAACAACCTGGCCAGGCTCTTAAGTCCCTCCCTCAGCCCCTGTCTCCCTGTGCACCCTTGGGGTGACAGCTCCCTAGCCCTCAGTTTGGCTTTGCAAATGCTCCATCTGTCTGGGAGTTGAGGGCCTGGATCTCAGGTCTCCATCCTCCTTCAAGCCTCTTCTTGCTTCCTGCCAGGCTGAGATTGTGAAGCGCCTCAGTGGTATCTGTGCTCAGATTATCCCCTTCCTGACCCAGGAGGTGAGTGACAGCAGTGGGGAGGAAAGGAGGGGAGGTCCAGGCAGATGCCTGCGGCACTGATTCTGCCAAGTAGGCAACAGTACAGAAAGAGAACATTTTCTCATGTCAGAAAGTCTTACAGCCCCAAGAGGGAGGGAGGGAGGTGTTGGCTGAATATGAGGACTGGGGGCTTTATTCCCTTTGATTGGTAGGTAACAAGGTATAGGGCTGAACCCCTCAAGCCTGCTGGTACCTTAGTCTGAATCCTGACTCTGTGGCCTTGGGCTAGATGCTTGCCTTTCTGAGCCTGTTTCCTTATCAGTGTTGTCATGAGGTTTAAATGAGCTAATTAATACATGGGAAGAGATGAAGATGATGGCCTGTGCTTAGTGAGCACCCGATAAAAGCTAACCCTTAAATTATGCTAGTGAAGTGGCTTGGCACCCATAGCTCAGTGGTTAGGGCACTGGCCACATGCTGGTGGGTTCAAACCTGGCCCGGGCCTACTAAACAACAATGAGGACAGCAACAACAATAACAACAACAAATAGCTGGGCATGGTGGGCAAGAGAATTGCTTAAGCCCAAGAGTTGGAGGTTGCTGTGAGCTGTGGTGCCACAGCACTCTACCGAGGGGGACGTAATAAGACTCTGTCTCAAAAAAAAAAAAAAAATGCTAGGGTGGTGCCTGTGGCTCAATGGGTAGGGTGCCAGCCCCATATACTGAGGGTGGCGGGTTCAAACCTGGCCCTGCCAAAATGCAACAAAAAATAGCCAGACCTTGTGATGGGCACCTGTAGTCCCAGCTACTTGGGAGGCTGAGGCAAGAGAATCACCTAAACCCAGGAGTTGGAGTTTGCTGTGAGCTGTGATGTTACAGCACTCTACCAGGGGTGATAGAGTGAGACTCTGTCTCTACCAAAAAAAAAAAAAAAGTTAGTGAAGTAACACAAAAGGACAAATCCTGTGTGATTCTACTCATTGAAGGTCCCTAGAGTCATCAGATTCACAGAGACGGAAAGTAGAATGGTGGGTGCCAAAGGCTGGGAAGGGGAATGGGGAGTTAGTGTTTCATGAGGACAGAGTTTCAGTTTGAGAGGATGAAAATGTTCTGGATGATGATGAAGCTTGTACAACATTGTGAATGTGCTTACTGCCACTGAATTTTGCACTTAAAAATGGTTAAATTTTGTTACATATTTTTTTGCCACAATAACACGAAGCAGATAGAACTGGGACATATATACAGTAAATAGTGTGAGCACTTCATGGAAACTTCAAAAGAAAAAGTTAGCCTGTGTGAGACTACCCCAGCATCAGGACCTTTGCACTAGCTGTTCTTGTTTCTTTTCTTTCATTTTCTATATCTTTTTTTAAAGAGATAGAATCTTACTATGTTGTCCAGGTTGATCTGGAACTCCTGGGCTCAAGTGATGCTCCCACCTCAGCTTCCTGAGTAGCTAGGACTCCAGGCACTCACCACCATGCTTGGTTGGGTGTTCCTGTTTCTTTTCTTTCTTTCTTTCTTTCTTTTTTTTTTGAGACAGAGTCTCACTTTGTTGCCCCCAGTAGAGTGGCAATAAACTCTTAGGCTCAAGAGATCCTCTTGCCTCAGCCTCCTGAGTAGCTGGGACTACAGGAGCCCACCACAATGCTCAGAGTCTTGCTTTTGCTCAGGCTGGTCTGCTTTTGAATTCCTGAGCTCAAGCAATCTACCCACCTTGGCCTCCCAAAGTGCTAGGATTGCAGGCATGAACCACCAAGCTCAACCTGGTGTTCCTGTTTCTATCTAAAGCATTCTGTCTCCAGAGAGACATAAGGATAGGTTTCACTTCAGAGTGGATGAATAGGGAAGGCCTTCATTGCAATGCGTACCAAAAAGAGAGGGGATTTGCCCAATTTGATTTGGATTCCACCAAGTCTGAGATTTCTGGAAGCTTGGGATGGGGAAAGGTCCTGTCTAGAGACAGAATGTAGACATCGTGCCTGATGCTAAGCATGGGGACAAAGTGGCCCAGAGTGAGAAGGGCAAGAAATGAAGGTAAAGGAATTTTTTTTTTTTTGAGACTGAGTCTCATTATGTCACCCTCAGTAGAGTACTGTGGCATCATAGCTCACAGCAACCTCCAACTCTAGGGCTTAAGCGATTCTCTCACCTCAGCCTCCCAAGGAGCTGGGACTACAGATGCCCACCACAAAACCCGGCTATTTTTTGTTGCAGTTGTCATTTTTCAGCTGGCCCAGGCCAGTTTTGAACCCGCCAGCCTTGGTGTATGTGGCTGGCACTGTAACCACCGTGCTATTGGTGCTGAGCCAGGTAAATGGACTTTTAGAATGAGTAAATAAAAGCACACACATCAGCTAAGCACCTGTAGCTTAGTGGCTAGGGTGCCAGCCACATACATGGGAGCTAGCGGTTTCGAATCCAGCCCTGTTCTGCCAAACAATGACAACTACAACCAAAGACTAGCCTGACGTTGTGGCAGGTACCAGTAGTCCCAGCTACTTGGGGAGGCTGAGGCAAGAGAATCTCTTAAGCTCAAGAGTTGGAGGTTGCTGTGAGCTGTGATGCAACAGCACTCTACCCAGGGTGACAGCTTGAGACTCTGTCTCAAAAAAAAAAAAAAAAAGCACACATATCTGCCCCAGGAACTTCATTCTTCTAGACCAGGAAGTAGCAAACTACAACCCAAAGGCCAAGTCCAGCCAGGTTCAGTGGCTCACTCCTATAATTCTAGTACTCTGGGAGGCAGACAAAGGTGGATTGTTTGAGTTCACGAATTTGAGACCAGCCTGAGCAAGAGCGAGACGCCATCTCTAAAAAAAATAATAATAAATAACCAGGTGTTGTGGTGGGTGCCTGTAGTCTCAACTACTTGGGAGGCTGAGATAGGAGAATCGCTTGAGCCCAAGAGTTTGAGGTTGCTGTGAGCTATTACACCACAGCACTCTTCCCAGGGTGACAAAGTGAGACTCTGTCTCAAAAAACAAACAAAGCAAAACAAAACGAAAAACAAAGTCCAGGTGCAGCCCTCCACCTGTTATTGTAAGTAAAGTTTTATTGGTACACAGCCATGCCCATTGGTGTACTTATCCTCTAAAGCATCTTTCCCACTACAAGGGCAGCGTTGAGTAGTTGCAACAGAGATCCTCTGGCCTGGTGGAATATTTTTACTCTCTGGCCCTTTATAGGAAAACTCTGGAGACCCTCATCCTAGGCACACCCAAAGAGGAATGTACCACTGCAGGAGTCTCATATCAGTATCCTAACCTCCTCTGTGGGGACAACCCAAATTTCCATCTTCAGGCATGTGGATGTCCAAGCTACCTCATAATACAGACAGTGGAGGACGTTACAGCTCCACTCTCCCCCACAGAGCTACCAGACACATGTGTCCATTTAAATTTATATTAACTTCAATCTGTTATATGTTCTGTGTTTAAAGAAGAAGACCTATTTATTAATGAAAAATATAACCCATATGAAGAGAAAAAAAGAAAAAAGGAAAAAAAATTATATTAACTTATATTTAAATCTATTATAGTAAACTTATATAGTACAGGGGGTTCCTAGAGGCAGGTAATTTCTGTTTTGTTGTCTAGGTGGTTGGTACAGGGGTGCTAGTTTATAATAGTGGTTCTTTGCTGGGGGCAGTTTTGCCCCCAGAAGGTATCAGTGGTTGTCATGACCAGGGGGTGTTCCTGGCATGGAGTGGGTGGGGACCAGAAACTACTGCTTAGTGTCCAGGATGGCTCTAATGATCTGGACCCAAATGTCCACAGTGCTGAGGGAGAGAGAACCTGATTCATTATTATTAATTTTAAGTGCACTTAGGTTTTGTTCCTTCCTCTATGTGCTTATTTATTTCACAATTCAAAAGAGAAAGGGAGAGAGAGAGAGAAGAAAGGAGATGAAAAGCGTAAGGCAGCAATGAGAGGGTAGGCAGGCAGAGGGCAGGCCACTGGGGGCATTGCCAGGGTGGATAGGGGCTCCGACCACCTTGTCCCCGGTGGTCCCCATCCCCAGCATCAGCAACAGGTGCTCCAAGCTGTGGAGCGTGCCAAGCAGGTGACCGTTGGAGAGCTGAACAGCCTGATTGGGGTGAGTGTTCCTAGCTCCTTCCCTGTTGTCAGGAGACACTGCATGTCCTGGTCCCTGGCACCCCAGAGGTGCCAAAGCTGGGGGTGGCACATGGGTACCTAGCCTGGGGTTGGGCTGCCCTGGCACCCCCAGGGGCATTCCCTGGTGCCCTCCTCTGGCCCATCCTCCCTCCTCTCTAGCAGCAGCAGCTCCAGCCACTGTCTCACCATGCCCCGCCCGTCCCCCTCACCCCTCGCCCAGCTGGGCTGGTGGGTGGCAGTGCCACAGGGCTGCTCGCCCTGTCTGGAGCACTGGCTGCCCAAGCCCAGCTGGCAGCAGCCGCCAAGGAAGACCGTGCAGGTGTGGAGGCTGAGGGGACCAGAGGTGAGTGGGGGAGCAGGGTCACACTGACAGGGTAGGGGAGCAAGCTCATCACAGTATGAGGGGATGAATGAGCATGGCTGCAGAGCCAAACAGGGTGTGTCCTTGGGCAAGTCACTAGCCCTCTCTGGGCATCTATCTGAATGTGGCAGGAAAGGGACAACCCACTACTTGGTAGGCTGGTGGGAGGACTGGGGAGATGCTCAGCTGGGAAGAGGGCTTTATAATCATAGAGGGATCTACCTACCCTCTGATGCCGTGAAATGCAAAAGCCTCATCCTTTCTCCTTTTCTCTCTCTTTCCCTCACCCCTCATCTGCCAGTGGAGAGAGCCCCAAGCAGGGTAAGTCAAAGGGCCCTCAGAGGCTTGCTTTTCTTGCTATGGAGCTCAGGTTCCTTGTTCTGAGCTGACGGAACCACAGAACAAGACGGGAATCAAATAAATGAATGTACCCCCTTGGGATCGTTCTTCCCATCCTTCTGTTCATTCATCTATCTATCATCATTACCTACAAGAGTGCTGCCCAATAGACATAGAATGCAAACTCGGTATGTAATTTTTCAAAAAGTGGTTTAATTTAGAAATAATTATAGAGGCTCGGCACCTGTGGCTCAAGTGGCTAAGGCGCCAGCCACATACACCTAAGGTAGCGGGTTCGAATCCAGCCTGGGCCTGCCAAATAACAATGATGGCTGCAACCAAAAAATAGCCAGGCGTTGTGGTGGGTGCCTGTGGTCCTAGCTACTTGGGAGGCTGAGGCAGGAGACTTGCTTGAGCCCAGGAGTTGGAGGTTGCTGTGAGCTGTGATGCCATGGCACTCTACCCAGGGGGACAGCTTGAGGCTCTGTCTCAAAAAAAAAAAGAAAAGAAGAGAAAAAGAAATAATTATAGATACAAATATGTAGGGAGGTCCCAGATACACTCCACCCAACTTCTCCCACTGTATAAGTAGTGTGTCAATGAAGGGAACTGACATTGGTCTGGAACACAAGGCTTTTATGTGTGTGTGTGTGTGTGTGTGTGTGTGCGCACGTGCGCACCGTTTTATCACTCATTTGGTCTCACACAACCATCACTACAATCTCTCATGCAATTTAAAATTTTCTGGTAGCCATGTTAAAACATTTAAAAGCAACAGGTGAAACCAATTGCAGTAGTATATGTATTTTATTTAACATAACTTATGCAAATATTATTCTTTCACTCTGTAATCAATATTTTTGAGAAAGAGTCTCATTTTGTCACCCTTGGTAGAGTGCTGTGGCAGCATAGCTCACAGAAACCTCCAACTCCTGGGCTCAAGTGAGTCTCCTGCCTCCACCTCCCAAGTAGCTGAGATTACAGGTGCCAGCCACAACACGCAGCCGTCATTGTTGTTTGGCGGCCCCGGGCTGGATTTGAACCTGCCAGCTCGGGTGTACATGGCTGGCACCTTAGCTGCTTGAGCCACAGGAGCCGAGCCTGAATTTTTTTTTTTTTTTTGAGACATAGTCTCATTATGTGACTCTCGGTAGAGTGCTATGGTGTCACAGCTCACAGCAACCTCAAACTCTTGAGCTCAAAAGATCTTCTTGACTCAGCTTCCTGAGTAGCTGGAAATACAGGCACCAGCCACAATACTCACCTAGTTTTTCTGTTTTTAGTACAGAGTCAATCTTGCCCTTGCTCAGCTGGTCTTAAACTCCTGAGCTCAGGGGATCTTCCTGGCTTGGCCTCCCAGAGTGCTAGGATTACAAGCATGACCCACCTTACCTGGCTGGTATTTCACGTTTTTGTTGTTTTGTATTTTTGAGAGAAAGTCTCAAGCTATCATGTGCTGTGCTGTCATAGCTCATAGCAACCTCCAACTCTTGGGCTCAAGCGATCCTCTTAACTTAGTATTTCTATTTTTAGTAGAGACAGTGTGTGTGTGGGGGTATCTCGATTTTTGCTCAGGCTGGTCTTAAGAGCTCAAGCAATCCACCTGCCTCGGCCTCCCAGAGCGCTAGGATTACAGGCGTGAACCACTATACCCAGCTTATTTTATGTTTTTAAAATCATACCGACGCTCCAGGATCTGAGTATATTTTGCACTAGAATGTGTCCCATTGTAAGGTCCACTCTAACATTCTGAGCACTCTAAAATGTGCTAGAAAACAAACCAGCAATGAAACAATGAAACAAACAGAGCTCAAACAGTACAAAGATACTGAAGAAAGAAAAAGGAAACCTGTCATTTTACTAAGTCCCTGGTGCAGCCCCCACCCCCACCCCTGTGCAAACACTATTAATAGTTTTTTTTGTTTGTTTTTGAGACAGAGTTTCACTGTTGGAATACAGTACTATAGCATCATAGCTCACAACAACCTCAAATTCATAGGCTCAAGTGATCCTCTTGGCTCAGCCTCTCTCAAGTAGCTGGACTACAGGCACCTGATACCACACCCAGCTATTTTTCTATTTTTAGTAAAGACGGGGTCTTGCTCTTGTTCAGGCTGGTCTGGAACTGCTGAGCTCAAGTGACCCTCCCACCTCAACCTCCCAGGTGCTAGGATTACAGGTCTGAACCACCTCACCATGCCCGTCACTATTAATAGTGTTTAATGTATCCTTGATAAAAACTGCTATGGCAGCAGGTTATATTGCTGTTCTGTGTTCTGCTAGTTTAGAAACCGGTGTTGGGAACCATTTCCCATAGGTTGCTCTGGCTCACTGCTCACTTTTTCATTAAGGTAAACAATGCTACCCATGTTTCACAGGAGGATCTCTTGGTCTGAGGTGGGAGTGTCAGTAGGAGCAGTAGGAGACATTCCTGAAATGCAATTTCAGAGGCAAATGGGTGCTTTGAGAAACATTGCCAGTTGCCAGCTTTGTTCATTGTTATTTATGTATTTATTTATTTATTAGAGACAGAGTCTCACTTTGGCACCCTCAGTAAAGTGCTGTGGCGTCATAGCTCACAGCAACCTCCAACTCTTGGGCTTAGGCGGTTCTCTTCCCTCAGCCTCCTGAGTAGCTGGGACTACAGGTGCCGCCTGTTCGTTGTTTTTCAAAGATAAGACAGGCGGTTTGGGTGGTGCCTGTGGCTCAGTGAGTAGGGCCACAGCCCCATATACTGAGGGTAGGCTATTCAAACCCAGTCCTGGCCAAACTGCAACAAAAAAACAGCCGGGAGTAAACTGCAGCAGCATTGTGGTGGGCACCTGTATTCCCAGCTACTCAGGAGGCTCAAGCAAGAGTGAGACTCTGTCTCAAAAAAAAAAAAAAAAAAAGACAGGCGGGACATGGTGGTAAATGCCTGTAATCCCAGCACTTTGGGAGGCTGAGGCAGGAGGATATGATAACCCAGGTGTGATGGCTCCCATCTGTAATCACAGCAACTTGGGAGGCCAAGACAGAAGGATTGCTTGAGCCAAGGAGTTTAAGGCTGCACTGAGCTGGGATTGCACCACTGCACTCTAGCCTGGGCAACAGAGCAAGACCTCATCTCTAAAAAGAAAGAAAAAAATAAAAAGGGGGAAAAAAAAAGATAATACATGCTGCTGGAATGAATTCCAACACAGAGACTAAGAAAAGTGACTTAGTTTTCTAGGGCACAGTAACAAATTAACACAAATTGGGTAACAACAAAAAATTTTTCTCCCAGAGTGCAGGAGGTTAGTAGTCTACAGGGTGTGCTCCCTCTAAAGTGGTGTTTTTCAAACTTTTTTTTTTTTTTTATCTCATGGCACTTTTTTTTTTTTGAGACAGAGTCTCACTCTGTTACCCTGGATAGAGTGCTGTGGTGTCAAAGTTCGCAGCAACCTCAAACTCCTAGTCTTAATTGATCCTCTTGCCTCAGCCTCCCAAGTAGCTGGGACTACAGGTATCCCCCATAACATCTGACTCATTTTTCTATTTTTAGTAGAGGCCAGATCTCTTGCTTGCTCAGACTGGTTTTAAACTCCTGAACTCAGGCTGTCCACCTGTTTTGGCCTCCCACAGTGCTAAGATTATGGGCATGAGCCACTGCACTCAGCCAGAATTTCTTTTTTTTTCTTTTTTTGAGACTAAGTCTCAAGCTGTTGCCCTGGGTAGAATGCCTTGGCATTACAGCTCACAGCAACCTCAAACTCTTGGGCTTTAGTGATTCTCTTGCCTCAGCCTTCCAAGTAGCTGGGACTATAGGGTCCCCCTCCAACAATGCCTGGCTATTTTTTGGTAACAGTTGTCATTATTGTTTTAGCTGGCCTGGGCCAGGTTTGAACCTGCCAGCCCTGGTGTATGTGGCCGGCACCCTAGCCACTGAGCTACGGGCACTGCCCAGAACGTCTTTTGAAAATAATTTAAACAATGATCTTTACTTATTTTATTTTATTTTTATTTATTTATTTTGAGAAAGAATCTCAAGCTGTCACCCTGTGTAGAGTGCCATGATGTCATAGCTCACAGCAACCTTAAACTCTTGGGCTCAAGCAATCCTCTTGCCTCAGCGTTTCTATTTTTAGTAGAGACAGGGTCTCACTTTTGCTTAGGCTGGTCTCCAACTTGTAAGCTTAAGCTATCCACCTGCCTCGGCACCTGGCCTAATTAATGATCTTTAAAATTTTTCACAGCATACCTAAAATCCTCTCTTGGCTTCCACAGTGGTTGAAAATCACTGTTCTAAGGCCTATGGGGAGAAGCCATCCTCACCTCTTCCAGCCTGGGGCCCCTGCAGTCCTTAGGGTCCCTTGGTTTGTAGCTGCATCTCAGCACTCTCTGCCTCCATCTTCACGTTCCCTTCTTCCCTGTATGTGTCTTTATATGGCCTCTTATGAGGACACTTGTCATTTGATTTAGAGTCTACCCTCATTAATCTTAACTTGCTAAAGACCCTGTTTACAACTAAAGTCTCTTAAAGGTCAGGTATGGTGGCTCACGCCTGTAATCCTAGCACTCTGGGAGGCTGAGGTCTGTGGATTGCCTGAACTCACAGTTTCGAGACCATCCTGAGTAAGTGCGAGAGACCTTGTCTCTAAAAAATAGCCGAGTGGTGGGTGCCTATAGTCCCAGTCACTCTGGAGGCTGAGACAGTAGAATTGCTTGAGCCCAAGAGTTTGAGGTTGCTGTGAGCTATAATGCCATGGCACTCTACAAATAAACAAAATAAAGTCTCCTTCTGAGTTTTCAGTGTACATGAAATTTGGGGGACCCTATTCAGCCTACAACAAGGACTGTGCCTTTCCTTGCCTCCAGAAGATACTGGCCTCAGACACACCCTGCAAACCTAATCTCTCCCAGAATGACCCCTATTGTCGATTTGGAACATCTCTGCAGATTTTCCTCCTGTGCAACGTATGTACATGCAGGCAGAATTATCTATAGGGGACCCCCTGGGAGAGCAGGATCCCTGGAGGGCCAAGGGTGTGAGAGGAAATGATGGTTCTCAAATATGCCATTCTGCCCTCCAGCCAGGGGACGTTTCAGTGTCTGAGAACATTTTTGTTTTTATGACTTCAGGTTGTGCGCATGCACCTGGCATCTAGTGAGTAGAGCTCAGGCATGCCACTCAACACATTACAGTGCCCAGGACAGTCCTGCTGCAGAGAACAACCCAGCCTCAGTGTCAGTAGTAGCAAAAAACCTGCCTGGGTATGCGTGATACGTTTTTTCAGAGCTGAGGGTTGGCACTCACTCTGTGCCAGGCATTCCACTAAGTGCTTTTTCCACAGTTGTCACTTCCTTGTCTTCACAACCACCCCAGGAGGTAGATAATATTATTATTCCCATTTCACTGAGATACAGAGAGGTTTAGTGATTTGCCTAAGGAAACACAGTGAGTGAGAAACCAAGCTAAGACTTGAGCCCAGGCAAACTGCTTTCCTATGTATAGTTTTGGAACTTGGTTTTTTTTTTTTTTATTCAGTTTGGTAATATATTGTGGTCATTTTTCCATGTTGTCATTGCTCTCATCCCCTTTTTTTTCCTTTTCACTTAATTAATTTATTTGAGACAGAGTCTCACTCTGTCACCTGGGTAGAGTGCTATAGTGTCATAGCTCACAGCAACCTCAAACTCTTAGGCTCAAGCGATCCTCCTGCCTCAGGCTCCTGAGTAGCTGGGACTATAGGCACCCGCCAGGACATCTGGCTAGTTTTTCTATTTTTATTAGAGACAGGGTCTCGCTCTTGCTCAAGCTGGTCTGGAACTCCTGAGCTCAAGAAATTCAACTGCCTTGGCCTTCCAGAGCAGTAGGACTACAGGCATGAGCTACCACACTGCACCTTTCCTTTCCTTTTTTTTTTTTTGAGGCAGAGTCTCACTGTGTCACCCTCAGTAGAGTTCTATAGCGTCACAGCTCAAGGCAACCTCAAACTCTTGGGCCTAAGGGATTCTCTCGCCTCAGCTTCCCAAGTAGCTGGGACTACAGGCACCGGCCACAACACTCAACCATTTCTTTTGTTGCAGTTGTCATTAGCTGGCCCGGGCTGGGTTTGAGCCCGCCAGCTTTGGTGTATGTAGCCAGCGTCCTACCCACTGAGCTATGGGCACCGCTGCTCCCTTTCTTTTTAAATGGCTGAGTGGTCTTCCATTTTGTGGTTGTGTGCACTTTATTTCCTGACTCCCACTGTGCTGTGTGTGACTGTCAAGTCCTTGTGTGGTCCTTGTACACATTCAGGGCGCTCCATAAGCTGAATTTCTTTGCTTGTCTGGTAAATTGGGCTTCAACATTAGATCTTGAAGGGGTTCCACAACTGGAGTGTTTGAGATATCCCTGCTTGTGCGCCTTCTTGTACAGATGGGGAGACTGAAACCTAGGGAAGCAGAAAAGCTGCCTGCAGATGATGCAGGTGGGCTGACCCCAGAGGGTGTGTCTCAGGGCCAGCCCCTGACCACAGACCCCTATTTCTTGCCCCCCCCCAGGGCTGTGCCATTGGCATCTGGTGGGCTGGTTTGCTACCCTGTTTTTTCATGGGTCTCAGTTTTCCCATCTATATGAAGGGATTAACCATTGCTCCTCCATGAATTTACTGGGGGTTGAGAATTCAGTATCCAGTTTTGCCTTTGGAAGGTCCAGCTTCACAGATGCATGAGATACAGACCCTAATAACAGGTGGAGGAGACCCTCAGTCTTAGCTGGACCACAACACAATCTAGGGGCCCAGGGTGCTGATGCCTCCTCCAGTCCGGTCCGTGTCTCTCTGCAGAGTGTGTCACCATCACCTCCTGAGAGTCTGGTGGAGGAAGAGCGATCAAATGGCCCTGGTAGCAATGGGAAGCAGAGAACAGAGGAAAAGGATCTGCCAGGACCTTATGTGAGTGGGGGGCAGGTGGGATGGGCATGCATGGCCTAGACTAGCCCCCAGCTGGAACCCTTGGAGTCTCCCAGAACCAGTTCTTGCTATAACTCTTACTCTCAAGCCTTTCAGAGCTGCCCATTGCTCAGAATACTGGCCAATCAGAAGATATCCTGTGGTGCTGGCTTAACTATTTACTCTTGTCTCCAAGGCTAGAGTGCCATGCTGTCAGCCTAGCTCATAGCAGCCTCAGACTCCTGGGGCTAATTTTTCTATTTTCAGTAGAGAGGGGTCTCCATCTTGCTAGGCTGGTCTGGAACTCCTGAGCTCAAGCTGTCCTCCCTGTTCCAAACTTGGCCTCCCAGAGTGTTGGACGTAAGGGCCTGAGCCACTATGCTCTGCTTACCTGGCTTAACTCTTGAATTGCTCTAAGTCCATGTACCTTCTAGGCCACATGGCCTTTTTCTCATCCTCTAGCTTTTGTTACAGCTGTTTTTTCCCCCTAGCTTCTCCCATCTCTCAGAAACCAGCTTCACCACCAAGGCACAAAAACAGTCTGCTGCAGGAAGCCTTCTGTGACCTACTCTTAGAGGGCTGGGGCATCCTCTCATTGTCACATTGCTGCACACCTTCAGTCTGAAATGCCTGAACCCTAGGGGCCAGGCTGAAGGTAGAGGCCTGGGCAGTGGCTAAACCTCCTCCCCTCTACAGGGCCAGCTACAACCTGGTCTCAGCTGACTGGCAGAATGTTAGCTGATCCTGCTGTTTCTCAGAGGGGAGCCTTAAATCTTTCTTTTTATATAAAGAAGAGTTGGCAACTAATTTTTGTTTTGTAAATGTTGGCAACTAATTTTTCTGTTTGTTTGAGACAGAGTCTCACTCTGTTGCCCCAGGCTAGAGTGCCAAGGCCTCAGCCTAGCTCACACCAACTTCAAACTCCTGGGCTCAAGTGATCCTCTTACCTCAGCCTCCCAAGTGGCTGGGTCTACAGACACCCACCACAATGCCTGGCTAATTTCTTTATTTTTATTTATTTAGACAGTCTCACTCTGTTGCCCTGGCATCATCATAGCTCCTAGCAACCTCTAACTCATGGGCTCAAACGATCCCCCCCCTTTTTTTCTTTTGTAAAGATAAGAGTTTCACTTTATCGCCCTTGGTAGAATGCGGCGTCGTCACATTACTCACAGGAACCTCCAACTCCTGGGCTTAGGCAATTCTCTTGCCTCAGCCTCCCAAGTAGCTGGGACTACAGGCGCCTGCCACAATGCCTGGCTATTTTTTTGGGTTGTTGTTGTTGTTGCAGTTGGGCTGGGGCCGGGTTTGAACCCACCACCCTTGGTATATGGGGCTGGCGCCCTACCCACTGAGCCACAGGCACTGCCCCAAATGATCCTTCTTGCCTCAGTCTCCTGAGTAGCTGGGACTCCAAGGGGCCACTACAACACTCAGCTAAATATTCTATTTTTAGTAGCAACAGGGTCTTACTTTGCTCAGGCTGGTCTTGAACTCCTGACCTCAAGTTGCATCATCCTCCCCGTGTGCTAGGATTTTCATTCAAAGAAGGAAATGAGGCGAGAGCGGCAAAGAGAACCCACCTGCAGGGTGGATTTGACTTCCATACTACAACCCTTTTTCTTCCCTTGGTTTCTAGCCAAACCAGAGATCTCAGCATGCCAGTGTCCCATTCTCCCCCCACCTCCCTGCTTGCTCAGGTGCCCAGGATAGTGTTTTTTGCATCTGTGAATGGAGTTGGAGCTAGATCTTGCTTCCAAGGGCGATGGGATGCGAAGCAGATGTAGGGCTAAGTCTTGGAAAAACTTCTGGGACCAGGTTGGAGGGCTACCTGGACAAGGCTAAAGGCCTGGGGCCCAAGGAAGGGGTGGGGTTGATGGAATGTGGGGTGTGGAAAGTGTGGGGTGGGCAGGGGGCGGGTGAGGCAGGTATGCTGGAGGTTGCTTTGCACGTGCAGCCTTCTCTTCTGAGAATCCCCATTTACTTACACTGGACTGCCAGCCTGTGTTTCCCTACTTGGGGAGCTGTTGGGGGATGTGGGCGGGATGTAAGCAGGAGAGCACTTTTCCCATCTCCCTTAACCCTCAGGAAAGCGATGAAGATAAGAGTGACTACAACCTGGTAGTGGATGAGGTGAGTCCAGGGGTCCAGCCTCCTCTTGGACTGTGGAGGCAGCTGTGGGCCCAAAGGGGGAGGGGTGGGTTTTCTGGAATGGGAGTCCTAGAGGGATTAGGGAACCTAGTCCTCTCTGTGGGATGGTAGTGGTGGGGCCAGAAAGAGTGGGGACATGTCTTGGGACACTTGGGCCAGCCTCCTTTCCATGGCACAGGTGGGGAAATTTAGGACCGGAGAACATAGAAAACAGGTAGGCTTGGCGCCTGTGGCTCAAGTGGCTAAGGCACCAGCCACATACACCTAAGGTGGCGGGTTCGAATCCAGCCTGGGCCCACCAAACAACAATAATGGCTGCAACCAAAAAATCGTTGGGCGTTGTGGTGGGCGCCTGTGGTCCCAGCTACTTGGGAGGCTGAGGCAGGAGACTCACTTGAGCCCAGGAGTTGGAGGTTGCTGTGAGCAGTGAAGCCATGGCACTCTACCTAGGGGGACAGCTTGAGGCTCTTGTCTCAAAAAAAGAAAAAAGAAAACAGGTAGACATGGCTGAAAACCCTAGCTTACTGTGTACTTTGGTGAGGGGGAGTGATATCCCCTTCTCTGGCCTCACTTTACTCCATCTGTTCAATGGGGAAGACAAAACCAAGCCCTCAGGCAGTCGTTGCTATATGTGTGCTTTTGGAATAGATCCTATCATTAAATCCATTTTATAGTGTCTCTCACCTTTTCTCATCCATGAGGACACTTCCAACTTTCTTTGGAAGTGCTCTAAACTTTCTCTTTGTTTTTCTTAAATAAAGTCTCTCTTTGTTATTGGGGGAGGGATAAACCTATTTTATAGATGAGTAAACTGAGGCACTGGGAAGTTTCCTAATCTTCCCAAGGTTGGTCATTAGTGCCCTGACTAGAGTTGGATTGGGAGTTGGACAGGATCGAGAGGGGCTCTTCCTCTCTTCCCTCTTCATCTCCACTCAACGTCACCTCCTTAAACTCAGGACCAACCCTCAGAGCCCCCCAGCCCAGCCACCACCCCCTGTGGAAAGGTGCCCATCTGTGTTCCCGCCCGTCGGGACCTCGTGGACAGTCCAGCATCCTTGGCCTCCAGCCTGGGCTCACCGCCCCCCAGAACCAAGGAGCTTGTCCTGGTAAGGAGCAAGGGAGGGACTTGAAACTCACTTTATTTATTCAGGAAGCCGGAAACAGAGACTACCACGATAGATACAAGGCTGTAAGGAGTCAGGCTAGTGTCCACCATGTCTTCTTAATTTTTCTTTTTTTCTTTTTTTTTTTTTGCTTCCTACATGGAGTCACTTTGTTGAGCTAAGTAAATATTACAAAGCAACTTTCTAAAGAAATATCATTATTCTAAATAAATATTAAAAGCCAACTCACCACCACCTTACATGGCAACCAAGTATCTCTTACAGTAAATAGGAAATCCCAAGGAAATAAGCACAATGAAAAAGCCCCACTAGAGAGAATGGGCAGCTAACTAATTGAGCCGGGCTTCAAGCCTGCAAGTGTTAAAGCCTTTAAGAGGTGTTTAGAGACTTACCTGGCTATAACCTGAGATGTTGGGAAGATAATTTATACAGGAACAATTTTCCCATTGTACCCTGTAGTTTAATGCCAGGTGTGGGACCATCTAGAAAGCACCTCTGGGGGCATTTGAAATGCAGCTTCCTTTGTGGCTTCCCTCCCTCCCCCAAATCTTCCCCCAGACCCCTCCCCTGCATCAAAAGGGGGGAGAACATGTCGGTTTCTAGGCCTCTGAGCCTGCAGGTTGCCATGGCAACCGCCTGACATTGGGGCTCACTGTCCATCTTAAGTGCCCTCCTCCCATTCCAGGGAGATATTAAAGGGGGAGGGGTTGTGCTCTCTGGAGAGGCCTCTGGAGTCCTCCCTGACCCCATGGTTGTCCTCACTTCCTCTTGAGGGTGCCTGTGCGGGGCTGTTACCATTTGTGTGGTTTTGTGATGGGAAACCCAGACAAACACAAGACAAGGAAGCAAAGTTTCTTGGAAGACAGAGGAAGGAATGACCTAAAGCCTAGATGACAGTATATTCCTACATGGAGGTCTGGTTGCCCCTTTCCTGAAGTGTCCCCTTGGGGAGGGACAGCTGTGGGTGACAGCCCTCACCCTACGGGGGAACTAGGATGATTGCACTGTGTGCTAGGTGCTTGTCCTTCACCCCGGATTGTGCCACTCTGAGGTCTCCCATGTCATGAGCCCATCCCAGGGTTTCTCATTCACTGTCCTTCAAGGATCTCAACAGCTTCTAATTATTGACTTCTCACAGGGGACACCACTGTCCCCTGGAGACCCTCATCCCCTGCATGGTATGCAGCACCCCACATACACCCACAATCCTAACCCTGTATTTATACTGCATACCTTATCATATGCATGCATGTGTGTGCCTCCCTCCCTGTGGGCATACCCTGGGTGCCCCTCATGCTCATGTGCCCACCAGGCATTGCAATATATGTGGACACTCACATACCCCCCTTGTTCAGGCAGTCAGCTGTGGGGCACTTCCCCTGGTGTGAAGGTATGTGTGGTAGCAGAGTTACAACTACACACCTGCTGGCATCTCCCAATGAGCTCCTTCAAGTGTATCTGTTCCCTTCCCCAACCAGCATTTTTTTTTCTTTTTTTAAAAACAGGGTTTCACTGTTGCCCAGGCTGGAGGTCAGTAGCTTGATCATAGCTCATGGCAACCTCAAACTCCTAGGCTAGAACAATCCTCATCCCTCAGTCTCAGGTAGCTGGGACTATAGGTGTGTATCACTACATCTGGCTAATTCTTAAATATTTTCTAGAAATGGAATCTCCTGATATTCCCCAGGTTGGTCTCAAACTCCTGGCCTCAAGTGATCCTCCTGCTGTGATCTCCCCAAATGCTGGGATTACCGGCATGAGCCACTGTACCCAGCCCCTCCCATTTAGTTTCTGGCTAGATCCTTGGGGCACCAGGCATTAGGTGCCTGGTGGTATTGAGTCCTGTCCTTTTCTCTGCAGAATGACCTTCCCACTAGCACTCCTGCCTCCAAGTCCTGTGACTACCCACCCCAGGATGCATCCACACCAGGGCCCAGCTCAGCCAGTCACCTCTGCCAGCTCACTGCCAAGCCAACGCCCTCCACAGACAGCATTGGTAAGCACCCTGCTTGCTCATGCCTATCATAGTAGGCTTCATTTCTGGAGGTTTCCAGAGAAAGGTAGGATTTGGGGAGGAAGGAGGTTTGGATTCCAGCCCTAGTATTCATTGTCTTGGCTCTTTTCTTCCTATCTCTTTTTTTTTTTTTTTTTT